AAAAAAAATCTAAAGCTGTTTCCAGTTATCTATGCTTTTTCAGTTTTATAGAAATTTTTGAATATTAATAGCCTAGTTTTAAGAGATTTAATTTTTTGAAAATAAATGTTATGATCTCCCAATTCAACATTATAATTTTGCTGCAGGATAAATAAAGAAGAAAACGGAGAAGGAGCAAAGCATTGATTGCAAATGTCTTAATAATGAGCAAATGTGGCAGGAAAAAATATATTAAGACAAATGTAAGGTAGGTGTTTTTCTTTTTTTTTTTTTTGAGGGTTCTACTACTTAGCTATAGTTAAAATGATGAATTAATGATAAATATGTACATACATGTATGTGTGCTTATGGTGTGTATATATATATATTGTACATACATAGTGATTATAAATATATACATACAATATTCAATATTCACATTTGGCTTTTTCTGAGTTCTAGGATCCTTTTCAGTTAGAAAATAGACCATTGATAAAGATATAAATAGTTCAGTGGAACTATAGAATTAGAGGAATCTCAAGAGTTTTAGTCCTCTGTCTTACTCTTAGACTACTTGTTGTTAACTGTGTAAAACAGAAGAAAATCTCCACTGAAGTTTTAAACAGTATTTTCCTTTTTTTTTTTCTGGTACTAGGAATTGAACCTGGGGGTGCTTAACCACTGAGCTACATTCCTGGCCCTTTTTTATTATTTTATTTTGACACAGGGTCTTACTAAGTTGCATAGGGCCTCACTAAATTGCTGAGTCTGGCTTTGAATTGGGATCCTCCTGCCTTAGCCTCCTGAGTTTCTGGGATTATAGACAAGCACCACTGTGCCTGGCTCTACCAATTTTTATAGCAATCTAATCAGAATTTTTCAAGTTTCTTTTGGTACTTTATATATACATATATATATATGTATATATAAAGTATATTTATATATATAAAGTATATATATATAAAGTATATTTATATATATATATATAAATATAGCCAAAGACCGGCCACCTTTTGGAACTTTCAAAACGTTCTGTTTCATCAGTTGTGTTTAGCTCTAAAGAGAAAATAAATTTTCTATGAGATTTTTGTAAAGCTATTTAAAAACAGAGAATAGAAACAGCTTTAGTAAATTTTTCCTTTACCAATTGGACTCTATTTTTAGAAGTGGAAAAGTTTTTGCAAAGGTAATATAGTTGCAGTGCCATGTAATTTGTTTTTACAAATTGGAAACAACTGAGATTTTAGAATTTTATTAGTTTATTGAACACATAAATTATGATTAAGACACTGTCTTTGCCCTATTTTTCACTTAGATTTTTTTGGCCTGTCTTTTCCTTTCCCTTCTTTGCTTCTAACTTCTTTTTAAACACTTTCCTGGAGGCCAGCCTCAGCAACTTAGCATGGCCTTAATCAACTTGGTGAGACCCCGTCTCAAAATTTAAAATTAAATACAGGTTGAGGATGTACCTCAGTGGTAAAGTTCTGCTGGGTTTAGTCCCCAGTATAAAGAAACACACACATTCTCAGGTACTGATAGCATTCCTTAAAATGTTTTTCCTTTTTCCTTCTTGTTTTTCCCCCTGCTTACAAATTTCTTATGCACATATAGACATGCCTAAGTAGCTTTTCATGATTAATTGCTTTGGTTTCTATAATTATAAATATTTGTATAAGTGCATTCAATTCTTAAGTATGTTATATATAGGTTGTCTACCTATTTTGTATCATATTGTACAAATAGAACTTTATTGTTGTACCTTAGTATTTGGGGAGTTATTACAGTATTATGTAGATGTTCTTTTACAGTCCTCAAAAAATAACAGAATAAGAAGTCATAGAAGATAACAGGATAACAAATACAATTGTACATATATTTGTTATGGAAAGTATTTCACCATGGAAATCTTTTAAACTAGTTACAATGGAGATTCCTGTTATTTTTATTAGTTATTTTAACCTTTTATTAAATTGGATCTCAGTATATTCATAACAGGTTGAGATATTTGCTTTTCCATCAAAAGAGAAAAAGGAAATAAATATCAGAAGAAATATTTTAACTCATAAGAAAAGAATATTATTGAGGTGGGAAGATTGCAAATTCAAGTTTAAATATGCCAATTTTAGCAAATTCTTACCTATTTTTAAGAACTATGAAACCAAATATTTGGTTTTCTATTTGGTTTCCTAAAGTATTCTAGTTGATGTTAGTTATAATACTTAATGTACTTTTGTGTCTTTTATAGTTACTTCTTATTTTATTTTTAAGTATTCTGTAATATATAATTGCTAATTGTTTTTTCCCCCTCTGATAAAGATTGTTGTTTAAGATTAAAAAAAAACTGTATAATTTATTAATTTAAAGATTACTCTGCTGTTATAGAAAGTGAGATTTTGGCCTGTATATTCTGTGATGCATCTCTTCAATTTTAGTACATTTAGCTATAAAGTATACAATGAAAAATTTAAATAGATCTTTCTCTTGACTCTGTAAATAAATTCTGTATGGAACAGTTAAGGCTGATTTACAAATGTTAATGTTTTATGTTCATCTTGTATAGCTGAGTTCTGGGTCTTCTATTGCCTCCTGAGATAGTGCTTAAAAATGCCTGAAAAAGCCAGGCATGGTGACATGAACCTACAATTCCAGCTACTAGGGTGGCTGAGGTGGGAGGATTGGACAATTTAGCAAGACCCCTGTCTCAAAAAGAAAAGAAAGAAAATAAAATGTTTAGTTCGATGCTTAACCCATGTTAAGCATTTAAGAAAAAAGATTTTTGAACTAGAAATTGAACCCAGGGGTGCTGTACCACAGAGCTAGAACTATATCCAAGGTTCCCTTTTTATTTTTTATTTTGAGGCGGTCTTACTAAGTTATCCAGGCTGGATTTGAACTTGCAGTCCTCCTGCCTCAACCTTTGGAGTTGCTGGGATTTCAAGGGTGCACCACTATGCCCAGTGAACACTTATATATTGTTTAATCTTGGGCCCTGAGCCTTGCCTTGGGCTTGATTTTCAGTGGGTTTAGGAGGTTGTTCTGGAGAACTGTTGGATATATATTAGCACAATAAACTTGCTTGAAAATGATAGGATATATATTTTAAATGATAGGATATTTATTTAATTAGAGTTGAACTTACCTTCAAATAAATGAGTTTAGCATCAAATTTTTACAGAATGACATAGACTGAGCACCTAAAATAATACAAATGGATTGAAATAATACAAAATATTCTAAAATAATACAAATGGATTGAAATTGGAGCCTAGTGTGAACAACAAAGCATATCTGAATGAAGATTATGATAACAGTTGCAGTTGTATTAGACACTGGGCATACATAGAAATCTCAGATGTGATATTCATCCCTAAATTAACATACAAGTGTTAGTACTGTGCTAACAAAAGTGTATGCTAGGCAAGTGCTGTAATGGAAGTATTGCACAAAACGTATTGGGAACTCAGAAGAGTAACTGATTCTGCTCAGGGGTATTGGAATAGGCTTTTGAAAGATAGTGTCTTGAACTAGGGCACAAAAAACTGGAAGCAATTTGCCTGTAGGACAAAGAAGGGTTGAAGGTCGTACCGGGAAGAAAGCAGAAACATGTCAATGATTAGAACTGGGGGAATAAGATGTATATTTGAAAAAAATGGCTTATTAGGAGAATAGAATACAGAGTGTAGGAAAGAATGGAATAACTGGAGATGAACCTGTGAAAGTAAAGTGAAATCACATGTGAAAGGAGTTAAATGGCAATTTGGTCTGGTAATTGAGAATATGGATTTTGGAGAAAGACTTGGGTTCAAAACCTGGCAATGCCAGTTTTTGTCCCTGTTGTGAGATCAGATTCTTAACCTCCTTAGGTCTCCTTTTCCTTATCTCTAAAAGAGGAACTAATTATATGATTTAATAGAGTGGTTGAGGACCAAAACTACATTTACCACATGGCAAATACTAAATAAATGGTAGTTATGATTAAAAGAAGTGGCAAGTGGATTTTATCTCATAGTCATTATAGGGCTTCTGAAGAGTTTAAGCAGAGAAGTGTTTTAATCAGAAATGTATGTTTTAGAAAGATAATTACTGACATGGATCGAAATCAGGAGATAGAATAGTGGCAGTGAGAAGGTACTGAAGGAGACTTAATTGTACTTTAGAGCGTAAAATCGTCATATCTGGTGATAAAACTGTGGGGAATGAAAGGAATAAAAGGAAGGAAGTTTTCTGGATGGTGAGGTCCCATTTCCTGAGAGAGGAATATCAGGAGATAGAACATGTGTGTTTAGAATTTTGAGGTACCTACAAAACATCTGTGTGTGTAAATGTTAAACAGGCTTTTGAATTTTGGAATTCAGGAAAGACTATTGGGCTAGAGATGTAGATTTAAGAGTTACAGGTTTAAAACTTGTATTAAATCCAAACAAATGAATAACATTAAGCAGGGAGAGATTTGAAAGTGAGCCAAGAAAGCTAGACAGATCCCTGAAGATTGAAGGATTAACATCAAGTAAGGGAAGGAATTGGCAAAGCAGCTTGTGGAGGAATCATCAGAGATTTGGTCAGAACAGGAAAATGTATTCTAGGGACATCAAAATAGAGTTCAGGAAGGAATATGTCTACAACTTAATGCTGCTGAGGGGTCAAACAACATAAAATTTAAGTGTGTTGGTAAATATTTAGTGACAAATGAGTTATGTTTTTTAGAGCGTTTTTAAAGAGGCTGATGCAAGTTTGAGGTTGTCTAGTAGAAGGTGGGAGGTGAAGAAATGGAGATAGCATTGGCAGTTCTTTCAAGTAGGTCATCAGGGAGAGGTAGAAGACAAGCAGTGAATTTTTTTTTTTTTTTTTAAAGAGAGAGAGAGAGAGAGAGGAGAGAAAGAATTTTAATATTTATTTTTTAGTTTTCGGTGGACACAACATCTTTGTATGTGGTGCTGAGGATCGAACCCGGGCCGCACGTATGCCAGGCGAACGCGCTACCGCTTGAGACACATCCCCAGCCTCAGGCAGTGAATTTTTGAATGTGGGTGATGTGTGTGTGCGCACATGCTTGTGTATCTAAGGTGGGGAGAGACTTGGAGGTATTTAAGTCTTACGGAGGAAACCACTGGTGAGGTGAAAGTATAATTTATTGTATAATTCACCTGAAAAGAGCAAAAAAGGGCATGTGATCTAAAAAACCGGTACAGAGTGTGAAAGAAGCAGGAGCCAAGGAAAAATGAAGGATGTAGATGTAACTGTTGATTTGGAGGTAGGGAAGTTGAGGGA